CCCCTCCAGCGGCATCCCGACCCCGCTCCCCACAAGGAGCAGGGCAGGGGAGGCAAGGCTAGCACTGCTAACCTTGCCCCCCTGTTCTGTCCACTCCGTTGCCCCCCGCCTCCAGGGAGCAGGGCGGGGGGGGGAAGAGGCAAGGCCAGCACACCTGGCCTTGCCCCCCCTCCGTCCCCTGTGTCCCCACCATCATGGCGGTGCTCCACTGCACACCAGCTCCTGTTCGAACACTTGTTCAAACTCTGATTGGCTGTTTGTCAGTCAATCAGAGTGTGAATAAAGCGTTACGGACAGACAGATATTCAGACAGATTTAGGCTTTTATAATATTAGAATGATGATGCTGTTTCCTCAGGGCTGTCCAATCAATGCCCCATGGACCGCATCCAGCCACAAGGAGTAAACTCATGGACTCCAGGGGTGAATATACACATACCAACTTTTTGACAGTTAACTTGACTTAACTTTTTAAAGTCAGTTTCACTGTCAGAGCATGCACACATATGTGGAGCAGAATTGACCCAAATGCAATGCAAGATAATTTACCTCTGAGGTGTATTATCTTAAGGTATGTTAAGTTGACTCAAACTTGACTTCAGGTACATGTGTATGCTAAGTCAACTTAGCTTAACAGTGGCCAGGCGCCACTGCAAGGGAGGGCTCACAAAATGGTTGCCACCATGTCATGGAGCTATACGTGTGTACATGCTGATGTGGCTTAACATAAGTTGACTTAGTTAAATTGCCTTATTTAAGGCAAAACATTTCAGATCCTTCGCTGGATGAGTGCAAGAGCAGTTCTGGCATGAACTCATTTCTGTGACTCAGATGTGCATGTCTGTGTAAATCCTGGACAGCACTCACTTGCTGACTTCGCAGGGAGCAAATACAGAAGAGGCATGAGTGAAGTCACTGAAAGACTGGAGCATGTGGTCACAGGAACCATTTTAGTAGCCCTTTGTGCCTTATGCATATTAGGAAAATTAATTATTGCTGCCACTGTGTGTCAGCAAAGGCCCCACTGTAGGAGCGAGTGGCCTGCCGACCTGAAGGCTTGCCAGGAGCAGCCTGATTCTGACTGGGCCCAGCTGTGCCTCATTGCTCCACTGCTGACAGCTAACCTTCAAGATAGAAGCCCAGGGCTCCCAGAAGAGCACTGCCTGCTTGTTGCTTTACAAATTTGTAGCTGTCTGTGACTTTGGTTTCTAGTCTTCAAGAGGTGCTTGACTTTGTTTTTTTGGACCCTTAGCTTGATTACTCCAGCCAAGAGTCCTTTGCCCTCCTCTCCAGGCGTGTGACCTGACCATAGGCACTAGGGGAGAATGCCTGTGCCTGGGCTCACAACAGCTTGGTGAGAATACTCTTGAGGTTTGGAAAACTTAGACCTATCACCCATGTAGCCAGGAGGTGTCATAGCCCCCAGGCCATGAGATGGCCTGGGGGGGGTGCTTGTGCTCTCAGTTAGCATCTCCATGGGGCTCCATCTTGATGTCACTTCTACCAAACCCAGCATACCCTCCCACACAACTGTTTTCAACATATCAGCATTTTTCCAATGAAAAACATTTCAACAAAAAAATCCAACCCTCTGAGTTGCTCTTGTGGTGAGCACGGGTTTAACAGGAAATGTAGGTCTGACTAGAACAAAACTATGGCAAGATCTTACTCTGCTCAGCCCCAGGCAGCTGGGGATTCCTGTTTAGCCACCCCAGGAATAGCATATAGCTCTTGAGGTGTCCATCTCATAGCCAAGTCAAGTCTGTCCAGCAGGCGGTTTTTATGGGCAATGGGGATAGAGAACAGCTATATCTTAAACAAATAGGAACTTGAAGGGAAGGAATGGAAAAAGCCAGCAAATTCTGTCAGGAACAAAAGCCACAGAAACAGCATTGGAGGCTAAAATGGGCTGAGCTAACAGTACTCCTAAGGATCCAGAGGGCAGGATAGTCAGCAGGCTAACTTCCAGGCTGCAATTTTCTGACCTTGGGACAAGGGTCAGGGAAGACAGTGCTCTGTGGCTGGCTGACTAACTAATTGGGGGAAACAACTTCTCAGGGTGTCTAGCTCCAGAGCAGCTTTGGCATTGGCTTCCATTGTGCTTGTGATGGCACCACTTCCCTATCCTCAAAGGGAAGGATGGAGATGTGAGGAAAAGCCGGGAGTTCGAGGAGAAGGATGGATAGGGCTCATCTTTTGTCAGACAGAGCAGAGTAGCAAATTCTACCAGAAATAAATGGCAGGAATTTATGCAAACCAGAAACTTCAATCACCACTGCTATAAATACGCTGTCAGAGGGAGTCAGTAATTGTGTGTGGTGGTAGGGAGGTATTGTGCTGTGGTCACAGGCTCCTGGGATTGAAGCTAATTAGGGTTGTGTTAGGCTGAGTATCAGCGCAGTGTTCAATTAATTACAGATGAGCAGCAGCTGCCATCTGTTGTTGGGGAGACTGTGGGAGGAAAAGGGCAAAGAGAGGATGATAGATGACAGCCTAGGCCCTGCTAGAGGAGGGGGCCAGGCCACAGCCAAGGGGTGGTGACTGTCCCAGGACCAGGATGTTAGCTACTGCCTGTGGCCTTGCTCTGCCCTCAGTAAGTCACTGCCTGCTTTCATCCCCAGCCAGTGACATGGGGTGAGCCCTGGATCTGAGGTTTCTATCATATGCCATTACTAATCCTTTCATTGCAGAACTGCCCTGTGCTTCCAGCATGAGATGACTGCATCTGCACCTTCCTTGTTTAACTGGGATTGAGGAAATTGCAGACACCATGGCTTGGAGAGCACTCAGCTGTTTGCTATTCTGTATTGAGAAAGGCAGAAGCTCTTAGGGGTGAACGAGAGGTAAGAGTTTGTATTAGGCTTTTACATGGGTAATTTTGGGTTGGAGGCAAGAAGACATTAGGTGGGGAGCTCTATGTTACAGGACCATGGAAACCGCAGGAATGAAGGAGGCTGGGGACTGAAGCCCTCAATCTGGACATTGGCTGGTAAAGCAGTTAATGCAGCTCCTAGATCTTGGTCTGTTGGCTACAGATTCAACCTCCAGAGACCAGACCTAGCCTGCAGTGGTCCCCAAGAAACCTTGCAATAACCCATGAGAGCTGGAGAAGCAGGATCTCTGGCTGGGCCCCTATATCCCTAACATTATTGTCTCCTTACTGGAAGGCTTCTTCTGGGTCAAAGGCTGTGCCAGGCAGTTTTGCTGGCCCAGTTAGTCACTGTGTAATCTCCTTTTTGCCTAGTCCTGGTAGGAGTAGCCTAAAGGCAAATTGGGATGCTACAGTCACTGGAAAACGCAGGTTCAGAAGCAATAAAAGCCCCTTCCCAGGGCATCAGCATCAATCCTGCTTCCTGCGCATTTTGATTGGTGTCACAGGAGCTCTCCTGCATTAATGGAGGGGCCCCAGGAGCTGGGCTGATGAGAGGCTCAGCAGCCCCTGTGCTGTCTGCTTTGTTTTCAGGTCCCAGGTGTGCACTGTCCTGGGTCTCTGTCCCATTCTACACAATGGTGATGGAGAGACACCTAATAGTTGATACTACCAGTAATTCCTCTTGTGATGCACTGCAGGTAAGCTGAGACAAGCTGCTCAATGTTAGACAAGCAGCCAGGAGCAGAAATAGCCAAAATTTGCCAGCCAAGGGACAAGCTGCTTCGGGCTTCTTAACAGTTTGAGTGGAAGCTGTGTTATGGGCACCTACAAGGAAAGTGCATTGAGGAGAGCTCAGTCTTCAAAGCAGGGACCGAGCTGGTAGGCAGCAAGAAGGTAGCTTTCCTGGTTGCCATGTGGGGTCCAGAATCTCAGTCTTCGGTATTAGGTGAAAAAGATCCCTAGCATCTACGGTGGCAAAGAAAAGCTCTGAGTGTAAACCCAGTCAGCAACAGGAGCTCTGAGGCATGAACTAGCTCATTCCCCGCTGGGAGGAGTTCATGCAGGAGTCAGTCCCCAGTAATAACAAACTAGATGTACATGGGAGGGTTTACGGCTGTGGATTAGATAGGATCTAGGGTTTTTCTGATTCTTCTCCCAAGCCTCAGGCAGTTCTCGGCAGGGACAGATCTGGAAACTGGAGCTCCTACCTCCTAGGTAAATGGAAAGACTCCCTGCTGTCTAGGAAGAGGAGAAATCCCATCTTGCAAAAAAGTCATACAGATTGCCCCAGAGGCAAGGGTGGGAAGGACCTGAGACATGCCATGGCTCCTGGTTACCAGCAGGTGTCACTAGACTCATGCCTGGAGTCAAAACAAGAACTAAACCAGGCTCTGTCCCTCTGTCTCCTGGGCAGGGCTGCCAGGGCCAGCTCCCTGCACCACAGCTGAGCAGACCCTGATGCACTCCCAGTTGCCTGCCCCCACTCGCATTCAAGTGCAGATGTTAGAGACCCCCATTCACTCCCTTCTGCTCTGTCCCTGAAGTGGGCCAGGCAGGAGGGATGCATATCTGTGTCCAGTGCTGACCAAGGCAAAAGGATACAGCCGGGTCCAAGGTCAGATTCACTGGCACAGAAAGGTTGTTCTCGTGGGACTTTGGCTGCATCTGAACCCGACTGCAGGAAGACATGAGATTCTGGGGGCTCGGATTTGAGATTCTAGTTTGTCTCTGCTTAGTTTCCATCTCTGAAGTGTGCTTGGATTTGGGGACGGGGACAGGAGAAGTTGGGTATGCCCTGTGCTGTTTGCTAAAAAACAAAGGGGGAAGCTCTCTGTGGACCGAACACCCCTGCATGTCTCTCCACTCCCAGCGGTGCCTTGATATTGCTTATTCTCATGGCGACCATTTGATCTCGGTTCCTAGGCTGAGCTTTTGCCACCTACGATGAGACCCTTGGGACATACGTTCTCTTATATTGTTTGTTTAGCACCGGGCACAACTGGCCCCCTAGCCTGTGTGAGGCTTTCAGATGGTACCAAAGTAGAAGTGAGTAATAACAATGAAAATAATAGCAAATGCTAATTAGAGAGAAATGCTAGGGACAGCTAAAGCAATGGTTCTCAACCTTTTTTGTACCAGGACCTATTCATAAAAACTGATGGCTAGTCCCAACCCAGTAAATAGTTTAAGTAGAAAACAGCCCCCTGGCTCGGCCAGTGTCCCTCACTCCCAACCCACAGCCCCACTGGCACTCCTCACTCCTGACCCACTGCTTCCTGCCCCAAGGCCCCAGCCCCCCAGTGTGTGGGACAAGGGGTGGGGGGAAGTGTTGGGCATGGGGCCCCCCATATTTGTGTTCCCACAGCAGGCATGAGTCTGCAGCCCAGCCAGACTGGCATGGGCAGAAGCCATCTCAACAGCCCAGCAGGCAGGACCCAGTGCAGGAGGGCAGAATCGAGTGGCAAAACTCACTGCTGCCACCACCACTGGGACCCCTGTGCTAGCTGTGCCACCAGCAGTGCAAGGAGTAACGGGAGGGGTGGGGCCATGCTGCTGTCACCTCCTCCTGCCACCAGCCACTCACATGCTAGGCTGTGGTTCTATCCCACCACCATGGCCCTGCCACTGCCCCCACTGGTGCTCCCCTCACACTTCCCACATTGCCTGCCACCCCAGATCCCCTCCGGGGTAGACCTGCAGCCTGAGGGGAGTGGCAGCGGTGGCTGGGCTGTGGCAGTGGGATACAGAGTGAGTGGCTGGCAGTGGGAGGAGGTGAAGGCAGAGTGCCGCCCGCCCCCACCCTGGGTTACTTCTTGTGTTGCTGGCGGCACAGCTGTTGCAGAGGTATGAGTAGTGGTGGCACCAAAGAGTCTCACCGCCCCGCTCTGTCTTCCTGCTTTGGTTCTGTCTGCTGGACTGCAGAGGTGGCTCCTGCCCATGCTGGTCCAGCCAGGCTGCAGCCCCGTGTCCATTGTGGTTGCACAAATCTGGAGGGGCACATGCTTCCCCATGCCTCCCTGACATGTCACCTATGTCCCTCTACCCCTTTCATACATTCTTGCGACCCAGTTTTGTGTTGCGACCCATGGGTTGAGAAACACTGAGCTAGAGAAATGTCAGCTGAGCACGTTTGAAGTGAGGGAGCCTTTCACACCTTCACATAAATGAGTGACCAAACAGAAGTATTTTTTAGGCTTGTTTAACTTAGACAAGCCCTTGGAAGTCTGATGGAAAGACATCTCCAGGAGCAGCAGTGAGAATTCAGGATGGCCAAGCTGAGGCACGTGTCCTCTCTGCACTGATGCACAGGTTTGCAGATAGCAGAGAAGACATCCTCCTGCACCTGAGACTGGCCCAGTGCGGTTCCTTTCCACCTGATGGGTTCCTCTCAGCTCCTCTGTCCATCCACCCAGCCTATGAGTTGAAAAAGACACATTTATCTTGTTTTTATCAGGAAAATAAGATCCTCTCTGCTGAATCCAGGCACTAGGAAATGAACGAAACTGTCAGCTGCTTTTCCTGGCTGGACAATACTCCCACCTGATCTCTTCACTGGGCTTTATGGGGCGTTCATGTCAAACATACTGCACAAACTTCAGATTTTTGTGGTCCAACCTCAGAGCCTAAGAAACAGCTGCAGGCCTGAATCTTAGACCAAAACCTAAAGTAAACCTGTTGCATGCTAAGTGTTATGCACTTCCTTCCTTCACACCCGCTTGTAACAACCACCCAGACCTTCCCACCCCAACGGCTGTAACTCTTCCCCTTACATCCCTATAGAACAGGTCTTGGAGTCAAGCCCATAGAAAGATCACAGTTCAGATGTCTTCTTGACCTTGGCAGAAATAGCCTCGGCTAATCTATGGGTTAAGCAGCTCATCTGTGTGTAGTTAAAGAGATCACAATCCCCAGCAATGGGCAACATGTCCTGACAGCTAAAATCCTCTCAGCTGATGATAACCCTACAAAGATGCTTCTTTTCAGCAATTGGAGTCCTGAGGGTCATAGATGGGTCAGGTTTGGATGGAGCAAAGGATATGCAGGCAGCTAAGGCTGAAGATGAGCCTCACGAGTGCAGAAAGGTTGTTGAGAGCTCTGGGATATAGGCATGGAGGGGTCACAGAACGTTCCAGGAGCACAGAGAGGTCTAAACTAGTGCTTCTCAAAGTGCTGATCCGTGGACCAGTGTCGGTCCACGAGCCACCGGTCGCCAGTCTGCAGAGAGTTGTCAGGAAAGAAAGAAATATATTCACCGGTCAGCAGCAAGTTGCCAGGAAAGAAAGAAATATATTTTCAGAAGCATAACATTGATATGTCATAGCGCCACAGTTCGTACATTCCAACACTCCAGGTGACGTCTCGTCGTGCAAGGTGAGGAAAGAGAAAGAAACAGCCGGTCGCGCATTTGTGTAGCGCTGTTATACGCAGTTGCTGCCACTGGCTGAACCGGGCACTGGTCCCTGGCCCACTGGAAAAAAAATTGCCGGTCCGCCACATCATATAGTTTGAGAAGCACTGGTCTAAACCATTCACCTGCTGGCTATGGTCAGCTGACCCTCGCATCTTCATTCAAAGACATCTCTGATGCTGCAGCAGGAGTACTGAATGAAATGGAAGCAGAGCTGTTGGCAGCTTAGTTTTCCATTTGTGCAACACTAGGCTCCATTCCTGATCTTCTGCTGCCCTTGGGGAGCCTGTAGACGTGGGTGCCTGTAGACGTGCTCTGAGGCAGCTCCAGAGCAGACTCAATTAATCCAGTCTGCTCGGGCGTGGTAATTACTACGCTCCAGATAGCCTCCGTGTCTCATGTATCAGTATCTTCATGCTTCAAAATGGCGGCAGAGGCACTTTATCTAAAGCTCATTGAACAAATTTTAGTTCAAGTGCCCTCGCTGCCATTTTGAAGCACAGGGACGCTAATACACAAGAAACTGCAGCGCTTTAATTAAAGCAGCTCTTGGAGCCACTCTAATTACATTCTCCCCCTGCCCCCTGCACCCCCAGAGGATGTGTAAAAGTGCCTATTGTGACTGCATCAACCAAGGGTTACACGGGGCAAAAATGGCAGAAACATGTTTTTTCCATACCACTGGCCCCCCTGCTCTTCAGGCACAGGCCATGACACCCAGGTTGGCCATGCTTGTCCTGAGACAGCACTGGGTGACAACCAGAGAGGAGGTACTGCTAGGTACTACCTGAAAATTGGCACTAATAACTTCCTAATCATATAGTAGCAGCTCCCCAAGGCTGGTGCTCCCTTCACAGTGACTGGCCAATCAGGTTACGTGCAGTTGTTAATCACTTCCAGGGGCATACAATGGCATGCCAGTCAGCTCCCTCTTGGCTTTGGAGTTTGAGGAGTGTCTTAGGTCAAAGGATGTATGCCTTCCAGCAGATTGCTAAGGCAGAAACTTCCGTCCCTCACAAGTGACTCAAGGGGATGCAGACTATGGATATACTTAGTGCTGAACTGGCCCCATTTTTACACCTGGGCTAGGGACAGACATTATACATAAACTAGTTTAAGTGATCAGAAATTGGTTTAAACCTGTAACAGAACAGACATTCAGTGCACATAAACCAGTTTGAAAATGGCTGAAACAAGTTTGGGATAAACCTGGTTGAATGTAGTATCAGACTTAACTGATTTGGCTCAAACTGGCTTATGCTATGTCTGTGACAGACCTCTTCCTGGTTT